TAGCTGGCGGTGCAGTTTGGAGAAGCCTAAGAGGCTGGGCCTTGCTGAAGGAAAAATGCACTGGGGACAGGCTCTGAGGTTTCCTGCCATTTCCAGTGGTCTCTCTTTGCTTGTCTCACTGGCATATGACAAACTCTCTGGATCTGTAAGCCCGAATATACCCTATACTTCCCCTGTAAGTTGCTTCAGTCATGGAGTCTCTATCACAGCAACAGAAACGGAACACACCAGGCTGGTGTGTCTGAGTATAGGTTTGTAAGACCATACCCCCAACCCCTTTTTTTGGTTTTTGGAGACAGGGTTTCTCTGTGTAGCTTTGGAGCCTGTCCTGGAACTCTGTACACCAGGCTGGCCTTGAACCCACAGAGATCCGCCTGCCTCTGGCTCTCCAGTGCTGGGATTAAAGGTGCGCTCCACCAGGCTAGGTAGATGGCTCAGCGGTTAAAGCTTTGGAAGCTCTTTCAGAGGACCCAGATCTATGTCCAGCACCCACAAGGTTACCCGCAGTGGTCTGCAATTCCAGCTCAAGGGAATGGATACTCTATTGTGGCCTCTTAGGGCAACAGGCATGCTTGAAGTGCATAGAAACACAGGCAGCAAAAACCATACACAGCAAAGTTAAAACCAAAAACCAAAACCAAAACCAAAACCATGCACTCTTCCCCCAAAGGGCTCCAGTCTGATCTTACATCCTCCCCAGTCCTGGGGTTACAGGTATGACCACACCTGACCTTTTGTTTGTTTCTTTCTTTCTTTCTTTCTTTCTTTCTTTCTTCCTTTCTTTTTTGAGGCAGGGAGTCATAGCTCAGGCTGGCAGAAACTCATGACTTTCCTGCCTTAGCCTTCCAAGTGCTGGGATCACAAGCTTGTCTGAGGGTCTCAAGTCATTTCTACCCTGCTACCTCTCAGAGACAGGCATGGGAGATCCCAAGAGACAAAGACACATGCCTTGTGGGTAATAGGAAGCTGGATCAAGGCCTCATGACCACCCGCGAGCCCCCCTCCACCTCTTACCTGAACCCACCAAGACATCTGGGTTGCCTAGGGTGACAGCAGCTGTGAAGTCGCAGCCCCAGCACTCCCCATCCACCTGCCAGTTCACGAACTTTGACTGCTGGGTCTGTGAACAAGGGGCAGGGTTAGGGCCATGGAGGCAGGAGCACCTGCGAGGGCGGCAGGCCATACCCAGGCACGGCTCACCTGGATGGCCATCTTGGACCTGAGGCCTGGGCTCAGCTGATGGATGATCTGTGCATTGAGGCTGCCACTGTTGTCCATGTCGCCCACCAGCACGGGGAAGGCCTGTGGGCAGAGGGCAGTCTGGAGGTCAGAGCTGTGTGTGTGGGCCTCAGCAACAAGCCTGGACTGGGCACGACACTGGTACCCCCCCTCCAGGAAGCCTTCTCAGTGCTGAGCCTGTGCCCACTTGGGTCACTTGAGCACCACAGCTGCCCTGGAACTACTCAACTGAATTCAACACTTCTGTCGCTGCTGCATCCTGCAAGGCGTAGATATTAGCTATTTTTTGTTGTTAAGTTTTCAAGACAGGGTTTCCCCCGTAGCCTTGGCTGTCTTGGCACTCTCTCGGTACACCATGTTGGCTTTGAACTCACAGAGATCTGCTTGCCTCGGCCTCCTGAGTGCTGCTCAGATTACCAGCACCCGGCTGCTGCTTCTCTTTGAGAGACAAGGTTTCATATAGCTCGGAGCAGCCTCAAAGGGACTATCTTAATTAAGGTTTATACTGCCAAGCACCAAAACCTAACTGGGGAAGAAAAGAAGGACTCAGATTTCTTTTCCACATTACAGCCCATCACTGAGGGAAGCCAGGGCAGGATCTCAATGCAGGAACGTGGAGGCCGGAGCTGATGCCCCAGAAGGGGCTACTCACCAACCTTTCTCACAGTGCCTAGGGTTAGGGTAGCATTGCCCGCAGCGAGCTGGGCCCTTTCATATCCTTCACCACTCAAGAACACACCACAGGCCAATCTGGAGCCAGCATTTTTTTCCCCAACTGAAGTTCCTTTTCCCAGATGACTGTACCTTACGTCAAGCTGACCTAAACCAGACAGCACATGAGCTATGTGGCACAGGGTGCCTGTGACCCAGGGTGCTGGGTTACAGGTCTGGGCTAGCAGCCTGCTCTTTGTATATCTGCTTGTTATTTATGGACGTAGGTCTTGCTATGTGGCCCGGGCAATCCTGGAACTCCTCATCCTTCTGCCAAGCCTCCCCAGGTACTAGGGTGACAAGCATGTGCCAGGACCCTGAGTTCGGCTTGAATCCATTTTCTCCAGGTAAGCGCTACTTCTGGATTGACAACTTGACCTTCACGAGGCTCTCCATCCCTGTTGCCATGATGTCTCTACCAGGATGGAAACTTCCTCCCCAACCATTACAATCTCCAAACTACGCCACAGCTCAGCTGACTCGGAGATAACCACCCTCCTCCACTCTTCAAAGGGGCCAATCAGACAGCTCAGTAGGAAAGTCAAGGGGTTTGTCACCAAGCCTGAGGACATGAGTTCAACCCCCCAAACACACACAAGGTGGTGGAAAAGAAACAACTCTTGGGAAGTTGTCCTCTGCCCTCCACAGGCCCTCCCCCGACACAAATAAATGTTAAGTCAGAGCGCAGCTCACACCTTTTCTGCTTCACAACACCAGGATCCTCCTATAGATGGGTGGTGCCCAGCAGGGTCCCCCTTGCTACTCTGAAGCAGTTACAGGAGGCAACCATTACTTGTCAGTGATAGCAGCACACACCTTTAATCCCAGCACTTGGGAGACACAGGCAGGCAGGCAGGCGGGCAGGCAAGAGGTCTCTGAGTTGGACGCCAGCCTGGTTTAATAGTTCCAGTCCAGCCAGGGCTTGGATAGGGAGGACTAGCTAAGGGCTCTCCTACACCAAGCTTGAAAACCCAAGTTCAAACCCCCAGTGCTTGCATAAGCGCCAGGTATGGCCGCTCATGCCCATGGCTCCAATACTGCAGAGATGGTGGGTCCCGTGGGCTGGCCAGCCAATCAGTCTAGCCTAACGGTGAGCTTCCAGATCAGATGCCCTGTTTTGGCCTTTGCAAATGCAAAAGTGGGGACAGGCACTTGCACAGATGCATACTTTAAGCAAAGTGCACATGTTGTAGTTCAGTTGGAAAGAGTGCTTGTCCAGAATGCCCTGGGTTCCATACCCAACCCCAGTAAAACCACATGTCATGACTTATTTGCCCAAAACTCCAGCACTTGGGGAGGTAAAGACAGGAGGACTGATAGTTTCAGATCATCCCCAGTCACAGCTCAAGCCCAGCCCGGGTGTGAGATTCTGTCTCCAGAAACCAAAAAACAGAACAGGCAACATAAGCAGACTCAGTAGCAGCTTCCCATACCTTCTGAAACCTCCACATACCATTACCCACCACTGCTAGGGTGGCATGAGCAACACACCTCAAGGGCCCATCTGACCAGGGGTTCCTCCCTTGTCAAATCTTTCTGCGGCTCTCCACTGCCCCCTAGAGGACGTCCAAGCACAGAGCTTGACTTTCCAGGTCCTCTACCTGGCTCCCAGCATCTGCATCTGGGTGATCATTGTGTCTGTGTGCCCCTCCACCCATGGTCACACCTCCCCTGCCCTACCTTCCAAGAACCAGCCCAGGACCCGACAAGGAACATTATGTTAGGGTTGCTGCACAGCCAGGAATCACTGTGTACCAACACCTCCTCCCCTCAAAGGTCCCCAAGCCTGTCACTTGTCCACCTATTCCCTTAATGGAAGAATTCTATGGAAGAATGACCAAAGGAATCTTACCTCTGTGGGACTCAGCTGCTTCGTCCCCACATACGTGACCCCAAAGTGGTAATTGGACTCCCCAATTGTGCCGAGGGCAACTGTGTGGGTCACCTGGGAGAAGAGAGTGAGTTGTGGGGATCTTGGCAAGGCTGGCTTATCCGACTGAGGATGCAAAGACAGAGCTCAGGGCTGAGCAGGGGGTGAAAACTAGGGGAATGGGGTTGGGAGGTTAACAG